ACTCTTTAGATGTCAACATGTTTTGAACTAAATCATCAAAATCTGGTAATATGTTATCGTCGCGGTCCTCCTGCTCCTCCTCCTTTGCAATCCAACCATCATGATGAGATCCATGCACATCTGATGGCTTTATAATGTCAGTACCTCCTCCCTCTTCCCCTTGATGAATCCATGTGGTGTATGTGGGTGACATTCTGTTTATAAGTAAGTCATCCTTCACCTCCTGCCAAGTTTTAACCACTTGGTTAAGACAATGTATGTGTACATGGGCAAGGGATGTTTTGCTCGGGTATTTTTGTTTAACCATATTCATGAACTCTTCAACTCCTATGATGAACGTCGGTGAGAATGGTCTCCCATTAGGAATCCAAGATCTGTCCATCTATTGTAGCAAAAGTATGCAAAGTCCGTTAGAGTTTCGACCATTGGGTGGACAATGGAAAAACTAGCATTAGAACAAAGAATATAGTGTTCGAGAGCACTAATCTGTGCATTTGTTCTTATCATACTATGGGACAGTCTAGTTTTCTATTTTTGTGTGACAAAAGCATTGATTTAAATTGAAATTCATACATAATAGCCTTTCTTTATGTGTTCTTTACTTTATCGTGTACAGAAAATAGAGTCCTATAATCATAGAAGAAGGTACTCATACCATTGTTCTACGAACTGGCATGGCTTGGCTTGGCTGCAAGCCGCCTCTGCCGTGGCACACACCCGATCACGCGGACACCAATGCCGCCACGCTCCACCGGGAGAGCCCCGCCACGCTCGATCTCTTTAGAGCCACCACAACAGATCGGAAATCCTCCGCCTCCGCCACCGCAAGTCCAGCGGGCATAGATTTGTTTCCACTTGCAGGGGATATATCCAATTTAGGACAACCTGTAACACAACCAATAGGATACTATAGTGACTCTAAAGAGATGTCAGCATAGCTAGGCGTCTAGCACAATGGTAAAGAAGCTCCAATCCTTGGTCCAGATCCCGTGTTTGACTCCCAGGTATCAGACCTTTTTTTGAGAAATTAAACCCCGACGGCACACATGGTACAAGTGACACGCAAACCATCGGGTCCCACAGGTCGGATGGAGTTGGAGAAAGGTTACATGTGACACGTAAGCCATTAGGTCCCATAGGTCTGATGCAGAAGGACCGAGCGGAGACTTTTATGACGAATTGCAAGCGTCAAGTGACACACAAGCCATCGGGTCCCACAGGTCGGATGGAGATGAATCGTCAGGTCCCACATGTTAGATGGAGATGGGCCATCAGGTCCCATAGGTCTAATGGAGATGGAGAACGGTCCCATAGGTACACGTGACACGTAAGCCGTCTGGTCCCACAGGTTGGATGTTGAAGGGTCCCGTAGGTACACGTCGAACGGAGAAAGGACCGAGCGAAGACTTTTATGATTAATTGCAAGCGTCACGGATGAGTAACTGTAGGTCCCATAGGTACACGTTGGATGGAGAAGGGTCCCACAGGTACATGTCGCATGGAGAAAGGACCGAGCGGAGACTTTTATGATGAATTGCAAACATCACGGATGAGTAATTGCAGGTCCCACAGGTACACGTCGGTGGAGAAAGTACCATGTGGAGATCTATGACAAAGCCATTCATTACAGATCGAATATTGTTCGTCACATATGTGTAATTAGTTCAATGACGAAGCCCTATTTCGTCATAGTTTTAAAGGAGATCATCATAGATGAGACGCGTGAGTGATCTGTGATGAAACCATATGCTCTTCTATGACATTTTTTGTGATGATGCCTGATTTCGTCATAGAAATAGAGGGTTGCAGGATGTCACCACCGATCTATGACGAAACGGAAATATTCGTCATAAAAAGCGCTCTTCTATGACGGTTTCAGATTCATCATTAAGATTTTCGTCATAGAAGTGGATATTTCTAGTAGTGAGGAGAGAGTAAGATTTCTGTAAAGATTTTATACCTTGGTCACCTTGATAAGGACAATGGTGGAGAGGAAGGGCATCGTAGTGGGTGGATTCCTATAAGGGAGCAGACAAAGGGGGAAGAGTGATTAGGTTCAATGGAAAGATAGTTGAGTTAGATCATGCTTCGAAGCTTGAGGAATCCATCTCTTGCCACCACATTTTATAGCTGGGCAAATGGCACGCTGTCTAGTAACTCGAGGACCTTATTTAATGTGAGCGGCTATTGCATCAATCGGGGTGGCACCGTGAAGCGGGGTTAAAGATGGCAATGGGCAAAATGCCCGCGGATACCAGTGTCGTGTGCCCGCGCCCGCGACAAAAATTTCGTGCCCGCGCCCGCGCCCGTCACCTGCCACGGGTGTCATCCTGTGCCCGCGCCCACTATCCGCGGGCATGCCTTGCCCGCGGGCATGTCCGTGTGCCCGCCAGATCTGGAGGAGGACGGCGCGACGGGATGGGCCACGACGGCTGCCAGGCGAGGTTCCCCACCAACTCGTTTCTGGTTGCTCGCCGCGGGGTCGCCATCGACGGACGCGAGCGAGCGCAACCCCGACCTGACTTCCTTTAATACCCTCTCCATCGTCTACTGCAGCTCGCCTCGCTCGCTTCCAGATCCAGCGGCCGGAGGCGGCAGGGGTGCCGGGCTGCCGGGCGACGACGGCTGCCAGGCGGGCAGGGCGGCTCCAATCCGCGCGAGCTGCGCCGCCACCATCACCTCCTCGAGCAACGCCTAGCTTGGTCCCCTTCCCCGCGGCCGTCGCAGCCTGAGTGAAGAAGGCGAAGTAGTAGGCCGTGTCGAGCTTGAGCTTGGTCCGTGAAGGGACGCGGCTGCTTGTCGCCCGCGCAGCCACGCTGCTCGTCGCCCGTGCAGCTGCATTGCTCGTCGCCGGCCACTAGTTCCCCTTCCACGTGCTGGTTTTGGCTCCCTGGCTCCTTGCGTGTGTGTGTGAGACTGTGAGGATTGGGAATTTGGGATAAGGCCGAATGGGCGAGTGGGCAGCCGGTGTGAGGATTGCTCCTGACGGCTCCTGGCTCCCTGCGCGTGTGTGTGGCTCCCTAGCTCTTTGTTTTATTTTAGTTAGAAAAGCTTGCGCTCTCTCTGCAGCCAAACGCCACCTCAAAGGGATAAGGTTGTGGAGCGGGTGTGGCGGGTATGCGGGTGCGGGTAGAACATTTTCTTTCCCGTCAGCTAATATCCGTCGGGTTTGGGGACGTACCTGTATCCGTGCCCGCGGGTAGACTCACGCACCCGTATCCTTGCCCAACGGGTCGATTGCCCACGGGCATGCGGGTATTTTGTACCCGTTGCCATCTTTAAGCGGGATGAATGGTGGTGAGGTGACATTGTGGTAGTGGTTGTTGGGCACCTAAGGGGCATGCTCCATTATTCACAGGCATGTGCGAGCTTTTGTTTGGGCACGTGAGAGCTATTTGTTCCTATCTTTCCATACAAGAGGGGGTAAGGTTAGCTTTTGTAGGCCCCTCGTAAGAGGGACCACCATTATTATTGTGTTGTCACATCATTGTTGTCCAGAACACTAAAGGTGTGACTATGAACTATGCATCACGCCTTTCCAACCCTTTTCAATGCGTACACCGACCATATGCCCTACTAAGCTACTAGGAGCATGCCTAGATTACAAAAGGGCACACGGTTGACATTGTTGTAATACCACTGCAGCAAATGAAACTCCGTGGTGACTAGCTCACCGCTACAACAAGTAGGCAGCCGAAACTACGCTGACCACGGCGTTACTATATGTAGATAACATGTCATATGTATACGGATATGATTCAATAAACGATTATTCATAGTATAAACTCCGTGGCTGACTAGTTCTTGTTTGGACGGGTCTTAGCTTAAAAATTTGTGCAAAATATGTGATACGGATATGATTCAGTAAACAATTATTGATAGTCGGGACTGAGTATAGCGTCAGCAGAAGAATTCGACAAACCAATGAACAATAAGAGTAACTAAAAGCATACCCCGTGTGATGCCACGGGATTTTCTTAAATCTATATATTGTGTCCATATATATGAATTTAACCTGCATGTTATTTTATTGTATCGAATTAGTAAAAAATCAGTAAGCTAAATAAAGAAAACCAATAGAATATTTGATCACACTATAGAAGAATAGGTGATAAAACAAATAGCATTGGTAAATGATTTTACGTTAATAGATTAGAGATTAAAATATTGCATATAATAGAGCTGATGTTGATATTTTTTTAATTCATAAGGAATGACATGGATAGCTTGCATGAGGGCACCATCATGGAGGCTAACACTCCTAGTGGTTCTAATATAAATAAAGTGGTCAACATAGACTAGAAAATGTTGAAACTATTATTCACATAATACAAACTATCACTACTTATGGTTTATAAAGAAATTTTTTTCTTTCATCATACCTCATCTTTATTTTCTTTTCATCTTCTTTTTTAGCATGGACCACCTTCTCTCTACTCAAGCATATGTAGCTCCTGTAAGCCACTATGATAAATGTAGAGCACCTATTTTTTTATTCAATTCTACATGGCACTTAAGGTTCATAGTAAAAAAACGATGTTGGGGAAGCCCGGAAAAAATTACATGTTAGCCATACATTTAGTGGAGAATGATATGCACACCTTACATAAAGAGATAAAAACATCTTAACGGGGTTTAACTTTATAAGAGTATATTGATATAGAGAAGCTAATCATCATTCATTGGCTGTATTCTTGACATCACAACAACCGATTGCAGCTAAATATAGCAACAATATGAGCATTCACACAACGAATCACTACAATCCATCTATGGACCTTTAATGGCTTCCGAATTTTATTGTTGGAGGCATGCACCAAAACTAGTCCGTGAGCACTAAATGCAAATTTTGGCACCCTGAATCCCATCCAAAGTCATCCAAAATACCACAATCAAACCCAAAACACCGCCCCAGTTCGCTAGGGGTTGATAGCATTCTTGAACAGAAGCCAGGGGCCGGACAGTCTCTCACCCAGCGGACGATCTCGAACTACGCGAAGATGGCCTCAGCATTCTCGATGGTCCGGTCAATATTCGCTGCGATGGCCTGCGCCCTCACCTGCGACACAGCCGAATCATACACGGGTCATCTCTCCATACGCGTCCTTGCTGAACGGGAACACCCGAGCGTGGCCGAACCTGGGCGGGGTGGGTGGAGCCTCGATCGAGAAGACGGGCGGCGGCAGGGGCAAGGGCATGGCGGCCGCCGTGGCGGGTGACGGCGAGGGCATGACGGCGGCGGATCCGCGCTGCGATCGAGGACGGCTTCCCCAGCCGCGCGCCGGGCTCGGCTTCCGCGTCGGCCAGGCTCCGGCTCAGGGAACTGAGGGGCCTGGCCTATGACGCGGAGGACGTGGTCAGCGACCGCGAGTACGAGGCCGTGCGCCGCAGAGCAGAGGCCCTCGACGCAGTGGGGCGGGCAGGCAGCGACGGCGGCCACCGCCTCAAGCGCGTCCGACGGGAGGTACGTGGCGATCGTGTTGCTACTCTGACGTGCACGCTGTGCACTCGATGAAATGCCAATACGGACACGACATATGGACTTTGTAAACTGAATCTTGTAATTCAGATTCCGTCTTATATTAACTAATCTGCTAGAACATTTTCTTTGTAAAGGTAATTGATGACTACTTCAGTGATATTGATATGGTGCCTGCTAAACATGATTTAGCTCCTGCTGTACGTGATTTAGCTGCAAGAGCAAGGAAAATTAGAGTGAGACTCGATGAGATAATCAAAGAGCATGAAGATCTTTGCATGACTGATAATGATGAAGAACAACAGATTGATCTTGCTACACAAAGGTCGCAACGTTATACTAGTTCTATTGTACATGAGCCAAGTATACATGGAAGAGAGGTAGATAAAAATAATATTATCAAAATGCTGTTGTCAGAAGTGAGGCCTATGTCTGTTCTAGCCATTGTTGGCATGGGAGGACTTGGTAAGACAACACTAGCTCAACTGGTGTTTAATGATCAAAGGGTACGCCAGTCTTTTGACAGACTTGCCTGGATATGTGTGTCTGATCAATTTGATGTGAAGGCCTAAACCTTGTTTGCTTCTGCTGGGTTTCAACTCTAGCCTACCCGAATTTGTTTGGGACTTAATGTAACAACCCAGATCTTTCTGGAAACCAAAAATACGAAATTTTTAAAATTTTTTCTACAATGTGTGAAGCATGTAGATGCTAGGTCAAATTAAGAACAAATTATAAATAAATTGTTGCATGCATATAGAATTACTTGTAGGAGTTTGCCGGAGTTCTTTTGTTGGTTTAGTGTTTTGTGTTGGAGAGCACAAGTCCGTAGCAAATCCTTTTGATCCCTTCTAAAATATCTTATGAATCCCTTTTCCTCTCTCTCAATTTATCTTTTTGCTTTTGAACCTCATTTGAATCCCTTGATCTAATTCATAAAGTCCATCGACCTTCCTTGTAAATCAAAGCCCATCGACGCCAACCCTTGACATGGACCCCACTAACCCTAATGACCCTTAGTGGACCCTACCCGGATGTATTCATGCTTGACAATACATGTATACACTCATAGAGACCCAAGGTATAATTAGAATGGAAAAGTAGAAATTGAAAAGACTTAGAAAAGTGGAGAAAATGGAAAAGGCCATTTCGGCAAGAAACACCCTGCGTAGCACTTTGGCCTGCTAGCTGCTTGGCCCAGCACTCCCATGCGTTGGCGGGCCAAGCACCTAACATCCCCGAGCTGCTTTCAAGACGCGACACAAATGACCGGCCGGTCGGTGACAAGAAGCTGCTGCCCCCGGCTCGCCCACACGCCTCTCCCTTCCTCGCCTGTTGCAAGCGGGAGGGACCCGCTCGTCATCCCCTTCCTCCCTTGGTCCCCCGCTCGCCTCCTCTGCTTTAACGAAAGCAGAGAGCAAGCACATGGGAAGAATCCTAGGGCGCCTCGGCCCTCTCTGTCGTCCGCCTCGCCCACCTACCGCGTGGACGCACCGATTGGCTGCCACGTCGCCAAACATGGCGCTGAAACCTGTCCACCTCACGCCGCTTTGGCGCAGAGCGGCCGCAGCCATGGATGACGCCACCACCTACCACCCCTGTCCCCTCCCTGTCGAGCCACGGTCTGCGAAATTCGGGAGCACCAAAGCGCCCACGATCACGCCGCGGCCCTAGAACCCTAGCACAGCCTCGCTAGAGGCCCTCCGATCACCCCTCGATCTCCATCCGCCGTTCACCGAGCCCCATGGCCGAGCTCGGCCTATAAAGAGCCCCGAGCGCGGAGCCCTAGGCCCCTCCTACCCCGCCGCCGCTCAGCGCCTTCCAATTCGCCAACATCCGAGCTAAGAGAGAGAGGGGGAAAAGGAAGAAGAAGAGGAACTGGAGCACGCCGGAGCCGTCCGCCGCCGGATTCGCTGGAACAAGGACACCGCCCCATACGACTACAGCAGCGTTGCGGCTCTCCCTGTGCGGCCTCGACCCATCACGGCCTCGCCTCGTCACTGCGCCGCTATCCTACCACCCTAAGCCCCACGGTGAGCCCTGCTGACCCCTCTGCTTCCCGTGCTCGCCCTCGCCGGACCACCATGAGCGCCACTGTGTTCCCGTGCCACGGGGATGCAAAGGCGGAGCCTTCCCGTTCCTGGACACACCCCCACTCAAGCACACACGTGCATGAGCCCGCGCGCCGCCTTGCCAAGCCCTCCCCGCTCGGGAATGCTAGCGCCGCCACACCGAGCCTGCCCGCGGTCGCCGTCGCCGGAGCCACCCATGGCGCTGTCCCGTTCCGGCCGTCTAGCCCCGGTAGAGGTAGCACAACCACCGGGACCATGTCCGCCATGCCATGGAACGCCGGAAGCCACCGCCTATAGGCCTTAGAAGCCCGTAGTTCGCTCTAGACCCCGCCTCGCCGACGTGGTGATGCGTCGTGTCCACCACCGTGCCACGCATCTCCCGTCCGACTCCGGCCGCCTCGTTGTGCGAGAGCACGCCGTAGAGCTTTGCCTTAGCCGGCTATTCCCAAGCCCCCGGCCCACCATCGTCGGTGACATCGTCGGAGCCCAGAGCTGCGTCGCGCCCTTCCCGCCGCATGTTCTGGTCGTCGTGGTGCCACCTTCTATGACTTCGCCATGACCCGGAGTGGCGGCGCCGCCGCCACTGGAGCTCGCGCACATTACGCCACCATTTGCGGGCACACCGTTATCACCGCCACCCACGACCTCGATCTGGCGCACCCACCATGGGCGCTCCGTCGGTCGCCGCGGCCGCATGGCAAAGACGCACGCTCGCAGCCAATTTCGCTACAATGTTCGCTTCGTGAGCACCCACAAACTGCAAGACGCACACACATGCACGATGCAAAGATGGCGCCCAGCGTGCCCGTGTTGCTCGCGCGCCACCATCGCCTTTGCCGACCACCCAAGCCACGGTCGTCCGTCGTCTCAGCCAAATGGCCACGCGCCGCGGTTTTCGACAGACTTCGTCCGTGATCGCACCGAACACATAGCGGCCGCTTATACGCCTCGCCGCCGGGGACACGAAGCCCAAGGTGCCGACTTCGAAGCCGCTTGCCATCCTTCACCTTACGACACAGCGCGCCGCCACGATCGCTATGCGTCGGCATGATGATCACGGACACTGCACATGCCACGCATTTTGTACATGCGACTAAGGAACCACATCGAGCTCTCAGCCTAGCACGCCGTCCTGCACCTTCCGTGACCTTTGCCCAGCCTTGCTCCTCACCAATGCCTCGGGCGGCTGCAACCTGCCCTCTCTGTTCTGGATACCCAAGCCAAGCCATAGCCTTGCCACTAGCCTTGGCATTCGTAGCTCCTAGCTACCGTCTTAATGCCACTGCACCACACCGAGCACACGTTGTTTCCATGCCCCACCGTAGCTCGATCCTCGTGGCATGCACGCACGCACAGCACGATGGTCATCTTGGCCTTGCTGCCGCCGTCCAAGCACACTTTGTGCATCCAAAGCTGAAGCCTTGGATGGTACACGGGCCACCATCAGCACGCCGACATGCTCAGGCACAAGCACCAAACAGCGCGCGTTGCCGACAGCCACCCCGCGTCATGGACTAGCACATGGAGGCCCTGTCCTTGCCCTTCTTGTCTCTGGACCAAGAGGCCGGCCTTGGCCCAGATCGACTGCGCAGATGGAGCCTACGACCATGCCCCATCCAGCCCTGTCCAGGCCCGCCAAGGCCCAGGCGAGACCCAAACAGGTTGACTTCTGACCAGTCAACAATGACCGTTGACCGAGCCCACATGTCGGTGACCAGTACCGAGGACCCACCTGTCAGCCGTAGTTTAGCTCTAATAACGCCATGTTGATGTCATGCCGAAGATGAGACCGCGCTAGCGTCGGGGACTTCGGCAATCTCACCGACCATGTTGGCAACCTTTCCGACCACTTCGGCAATCTCACCGACCACGTTGGCAACCTTTCCGACCACTTCGGCAATCTCACCGACCACGTTGGCAACCTTTCCGACCACTTCGGCAATCTCACCGACCACGTTGGCAACCCTTCCGACCACTTCGACAATCTCACCGACCGCGTTGGCAACCTTTCCGACCACCTCGGCCAGCCTCTCGACCACGACGGTGATCTCACCGACCACCTCGGTGACATCTTCGACCACTGACGAAAGCCCCTTCCTGCTTATCCTTATACTCGTTTGTACACTTACGATACGTGATTTTGATCTATTTATATTTGTCTACACCGTGCCCTTGTGCAGGTCTACCCATCCCCCTCGCTATGGATATGTGCTACTCCATAGTCGTGTCGAGTTGTTGCGTCTTTCGGTCGTGTTTGGTTCTTATCGCTGGTTGTTGGTGTTGTTGCCTGTGTGCCGAGCCTTCGAGCAGGCTGAGGGATCGTACCTCATTCGGACGTTACGATCACGGGATCCGTCTCGCCATGACCGTGATGCCGAGTGTAACTCGACCCCTCGCTTTTTAGTTGACTTCAGAGTACCACGAGCGTTAGTTCCTGTCTTCGGCCCTAGAACATGGACGTGATGGATTCAATATCGATGGCAATATCGATGCGGATATTACCCGCACATTTTGAGCCCTTCGTGACCAAGTTCTGTGGGAGAAAACCTAGGAGTAGACAATCGTGGAACGATGAATGCCAACTCGTTGGCACAGCTTGTGGCCGCGAGTTCACCTCACCATGACCATGGAGCCACGCCTCTCTTTCGCTTTTAGTTGCTTCTTCGTGCTCAAGCCCTTGTATGCTTGTACCCCGTTTGACCATCACGTTTCTCTGATTCTCGCGGTGACAACCGCACCGCTTCGAATCCAAGAGATATCTCAGTGCCAGTGCACCCAGGTCGGGTACCCTACGAGTGGCTTACGCACTTGGTGTTCTTGAGTGTCGCTCCTTCCGATGCCCCGTCTTTCGTCGTGGTGCGAGTGTTGGAAGAAGTGGACCTTGCTCTTGGATATTCTTGCTCTTATTGCCCCGATAGCCGCTCTGTTTGATTCTGTCTTGCCCATGACAATTGGATCAAAGACCGGACTATTCCCTTTGGGTTAGCGAAGCTATGGTCTATGTCGTACCTCGGACCCGTGCGTGTCGACCCGATCGACCGTCTAAAACCATCTTCCCCGAGGATGTGTCTGGGAGCATAACATGGGCGTGCCTAACTAATCCCGCTGCTATTGCCGTGTTGAACGACTGTGTCCTCGGCTCCCGACGTTGATGTGTCGTGTGGATCGAGAGGACCCGTCGCTATCCAACCTATTTGCGCTACCGCTTCCTACCATAGCGGGTGAGCCAAAGTACATTGGAGCCAAGTCACAATAGTGTTATTCGTTCTTGTTTGCTTCTCATGTCCAATTGTGACTTGCGGGATAAGGCTATAAGAGCTGAACCCCGTCGTTCCTCTTCTTGGGGCCCGACTTCCAATCCCCGTCGATTCAATGACACCGGATCGGAAGATCGTGAGCCGTGGTGTGCTATGGATAAGCTTTGGCTTAAACCA